TCATTATTAATTTGGTCAAATATAAGATACTTTGATTTAGAAAGAAAAACTAAGTGTCCCTCTTTACGTGTCAGAGGTTGTATGCTAAGAAAAGCAATAGGTATTCATGATAAAGAGTGAAGTGCGATTCTTCCTTACTGATATCTAACTTTTATATATTATAAAAAAAAAGCATCAGTCGTCTACTATCCTACCACCGAATTTGTTAGTATCCTACCACCTGAAGTTGTTATCCCTTCGTTCCAAACTTATCTTCAAACTATAAGATATTTTGACTTTTGTAGATACAATGTTTTTACCATGTCACAACATTTTATAATTGGAACGAGTAATTTTTCTGTAGTAGATAGCACACCTATTAGTAGGTAACCTGTTTGATCTAGTTTTCTAACTTTTAGTTTTAGCTTGTGTTCCGCTGAGCCACAGAGGCAACCCTCGTAGGAATAGTTAATAAAATTTTGTAGTAAAAAGAGAATTTAAAACAGTTCATCCGTTACATAATCTTAGATTATCAAGATGATCTATATCTTCTCTAGGGATGAAATCTTGGAGTAACTTCAACAACATTTTTTTTTTATCATCAATGTCTGAATGTTCGTCACCCTTAAGTGTTTTTTAGGACAGTTCATCACCCTTCAGTGCAGCCTCAAGATGAGCGCAAGATCTTGTCATCTAAGGAGCACAAAAAGTTACAAAGCAGGATTGGATTGGAGGAAAAACAAAGAAACTAAGAATCACACGAGGACCCAGCTTCATCGTGCTTGAGAAGATACTGTTCAAAAATCTACTTATGGCTAGCTCCTCACGTGGAACAGATCCACATGTATACAGCATATCTCTTATACTTCGCCCTTTTTTATGTAAAAGTAAGTGCTACATTTGTAATGAGAAAGATTATAAGTTGGTCCGAACTTATTTAAACAACTAAGGTGGGACTAATTTCATCATAACACAACACATGGATCACAAACATGTCGAGACTAGAACACCAAATGAGCCAATGTATTATAGAAACGGCAGCTAAGACGAAATAAATCATGAGTGCAACAACAAACCGGTCTAATTGTGCTTTGTTTGCTAGGCTTAGGGCCTATTTGTTTGAGCTGCAACTTTTGAGTTTTTCGCTCAAAATTGATTTATGTCTATTAGATTTTTGCTATTGGTTTTTGTAATAAATTTTAGTTTATCAACACAAGAAAACCAGAAAAAGCTACTAAAAAAATGTGCTTTTTAGCTTTTAGTTCATTTCCGTAGGGGCCAGATTTCTATCTTTTTAAAAGCTAACTCAATAGCTAGGGAAGATTCGACCTCCTAGAGTTCAACCCCGCTCTCAACCCGTGAACAATAAGAGTCTGAAGTTTATTTAGTAACTCCCGAAACTTTCTTGTAGTGGCTCCATTTCATGCCTCATTTCACAGGGAAGCCCAAAATGGCTCTATCCATTCTATTTTACTTCCTAGCATTTCCTATCATTTATCCATCCCTTTGGTTTTATAGACATAAGAGATGTCATGTATAGATCTATCTCTTTCTATATATAGAAATTCAAGAAATTCTCATCGAAATATTGAAAAACTGTACATATGGAAAACTCTAAAGGAAGAAAAAAAGGAGACTCATGGCATTATTTTTTAAATCCTTTCTACTTAAATAGTCTAAAGTAATGTAAGTTTCTCGATGAGGATAATTAATTCGGTCGTTGTGGTTGGACTCTGTTATGTATTTCCGGCCACATTCTCCTTAGGCCTTTCTCCAATTTTGGGTTAGAGAAGGAGATATTCGTGACTACTAGCGATTTCATTACGGGACAGCTCATGATCTTCATATCGATCTATTATCCACCTATGCATCTATTCTTTCTTAGCTAAACAGATGGAAGATCGATCCAATTTGGTTATATCATGGACTCAAAAAACGGATTAGCTTCTGGCTTTTGGCTGACAGAAGCTAGATAAAAGATGAAACAAACAAATAACTAAGTAATAGTATTAACAGTTGATTTGGAGACCTTTAACTTTTGGGGTCAATACGATCATTTAGGATGAGCATGCTGGTCTAACACCTCTCTCTCTCTCTCTCCTTTGAATCAATCATTCCCCTCATTTTCATCTCAATCCCCCCAATCCCCATGAAGAATGGGTGTATCCAAATTCAAAAGGAGCCTTAAGGGGCTATTTGATTCAACGTCCAAGTAACATTGCCTGGACAGATAACACTTCTAGACATCGATTTCGATCTTCTAGGGTAAGGATTGTTGCCTAGCCGGTGGTGCAATCCAAACACAGAAACATGCTATAAGTGTCATGAAATGAAATGGCACATAAGGTTAGAAGGGAGTAGGATTTCTAGTTCTTTTTGGGTCTGTTTGGTAGCCCCAACGCCTGCCGGTTCAAGCCTTTGGTTCCCTGCTCGCTTGGCTTGGTGGATGCAGTTGCATGCGCGCATGTAGCATCGCGGCATGCGGCCAAATCCGGCATATCCGCGCGCCTGATGCAGATGTAGTAGTTGCTAGCGGTAGCGGACTCACATGTTAGACTCTTGGGCTAAATGGATTGCACCCGTCCGCACAAGTAATAACTCGTAACCAAACATTCTAGCTTTTTTTTTATCCGTTATGCAATCTCACCAAACACTATCTTTTCTAAAATACAGTTCTACTTAACCAACATCTCCTCATTCAGATATACGATGCAAGCTTCATTCGTCAACCAAACACACCATTTGTTGTTTTCCCATATCTGTTGTGAAACTGTACCTGGCTAGATATGATTTTCAGTGACAACTTCTACGGGTAGTTCATTTTGTTTCTCGTTCTTGCACCAGAACTGTGTTTTATCTTTAGTCCTTTCCCATCTAAACCCTGTGCTTTTTCCTCCCAATCTTCTCCCGACGGTAAGCCAGGCAGGGACAGCAATGGTCTCCAAAGACGTGCCTGGCACCTGGAAAAGGCACGGAGAAATCATCAAAGCTGCACTGAGATGTATGCAGCCGCCGCAGCGGGAAACGGCCTGTCTCACCTGCGCGTCGCAATTCGCAAGCGAAGCAAGCGCGTTGGCGAAGGAGTGGCGGCGGAATAAAAGAACTGCCCTTCTTAGCTGCTCCACCAAAACTTTACACATACAATATTTGGCACATGCACAGAGTATTAAATATAGATAAAAAAATAATTAATTATACATATTGTGACTACTTTACGAGATGAATCTTTTAAACCTAATTAGTCAATGATTTGACAATAAAATGTTACAGTAACGCATGTGCTAATGATGGATTAATCAGGTTTAATAAATTCGTCTCGCGATTCATTGATGAATTCTGTAATTTATTTTTTTTATTATTATTCAAACACCCCATATAACACCCATGTAATATCCAACGTAACACTCTAAAACTTTACACCTCGATCTAAACGTCACCAGAAAAAAGAAAAAGCCAAGGGCCAAGGCGTGGTGCGCGGGTAGCTATGTCTGGTAAACGCGGGCGGCACACGGCACGCCACGGCACGCGTCCACGCGCGGCCCCGACGCCTGTCACGTCGCGTGGGCTCGGTGGCTTCGCGCCTCGGCCTGCCCCGCCGCGTTCCTCGTCCATCTGGAACGGAACGAAACGGCCCTCTCCTCCAGTCCTCCCTCTGCTTCTGCTTCTCCCCACGCCACCGAAGCAATCCAGGCCGGACAGGGTGCCACAAAACCAAAACCAAACCCCACCACACTACTCCGCACGACGAGATCATTTCGCCAGCTCATCGCCACCGCCCTCCTCCGCTCGCTTCCGCTCGGCTCCCGCGTCTCCTTCTCCTCCTCCTCCTCCTCGTCGGGTGGGTGGGTCCACCTCTCGCCGCGCCCCGCCGTCGACCCGCCTCAGGTGAGCCCTGCCTCTACTCTCTCTTCTCTCCCATCGTCTCGCGCGGCGGGGGTTGTTCCGCGGGTCATGCTCCGGCTGGCTGTGGTGTTGTGCGTGCCGACAGGTCTTGCCGCTTGGGCGCCGTGCTGGTTGGTGCCCGCTTGGGGTGGTGGCAGCGGCGGCGGCCTGACGGATGGAAGCCGGTGCGGCGGGGTTGGAGGTGTTCTCCGATGCGATGTTCGAGGGTTTGGATAACTCAATTACGACCCGATGCAGTTTTTTCGCGTTGCTTAGGTTCGCCGTTCGCGGCTTGGGTACGGGACGGGAACGGGGCTGCCGTGCTTGGCGCGCGCGGGGGTTGGTGAAAACGTCTGGTGCGGTGACTCTGTTTGTGGCGATTTGCGTCGCCGTGGTGCTTGTGTCGATGACAGAGATACGGAAAGTATGATGTCAGCATTCTTGTCCGACCTATAAAATGCGGCCGTACAATACATATATTATGGTTGTACATGTGTATCTACCTTAGTTAATTATCCTTGTACGTGAATCTGTTTATTTGTTTGGACATGGAGTATAGTTTTTGCAGCTGGTCATAGTTATGTGATCACTGTTAGATGTATAGCAGGTGTATGTGTTTTCCCTTTACTTGGAGGGCTTCTTTGCATATGTACATTGTGTATACTTGCCCTCTTGGGCCTTGCAATACAGTTGGTTGGTCATTCTCTAACATGGTATCAGAGAGCTAGGTTTTCCTTACCTCAGACCAATCCCAGCAGCAGTCATCATGAACTCAGCACAAGACGCTCACGCCCACCATGGCACACCACATGACGCCCTTCCAGCATGCACACCGCGTTGCACATCATCCATCGCCGGCGGCCGCCGCCCGCTGAGCGGGTTCACGCCACCATCACCAGCCTGCCCTCCCGCCTCTCTGCGCCACGCCTCCCTCCCGCGCCCCTGCAGCGGGACGACTCCTCCCGCGCCCCTTTGGGGCTCATGGCTCTCCTTCGTCCGCGCCATGTATAGCGAGCCGCTCACTCGCGCCTGTGTGTCAGTCTCGTGCTAGTGAGCCGACCGGTACTCCTCTCCTCTCTGCTTAAAAAAAAGAAAAAAAAGAAGCAGCAACAACAGCAGAGAGGCTCGTTCTCTCCTCTATGGCGTCCCCCGGACGCCCTGGCGCTGTTCTGGTCCCTCGGTGCCCTGTCATTTTCAATGGCACCAATTGGGGCGATTTTGTTTTCCATATGGAGGTCCACATGGATGGGCAGCTGCTGTGGGGCTACCTCACGGGTGAGCGGATCTGTCCTCCCCGTCCTCTTCTTCCCATGCCGCCCACATACCCGCCAGATGCTGATGATGATGCCAAGAATGCTTTACTTGAGGCATTTGAGGCTGAGATGGAGAGCTACCAGTCTGATCTCGGTGTCTATGAGACTTGGTTGCGCGAGGAAAAATCTGCTAAGGCTATCTTACTTGCGAGCATGGAGGTCGATCTCTCGTTATCCCTTAGAGGTCTTGCCACTTCACACCTTATGTGGGATCACCTCCGTCGCGCTATTCTAGATTCAGAATGGCAGAGCGATGTACCTTCTTCGTTGTTGAGGAGGCTCACGCTTCGCCGCCTTGACTCCACAAGGAGGACTTCCACCGTCGATGATACCGTTCGCATCGCTGGGACAGCTTTAGGCGTTGAGTTCTGCGGTGGTGGTACTTGCTTGGTCTTTGTGACCGCCACCGGGACCAGAGAGACATTCTTCGCTTTTCACGAGTTTCTCTCTCGGCTTCGTCCCCGAAGTTCGAGACTGTTTCGAGCACGATTCTTGACTTCGTCCGCGCCCATCGCTCTCGGGAGGCGATGCACGAAGTTCTGAAATGAGGAGACACGTCTTGGAGCCGGGGTGTGACTCGTGTTCCGCCATGACCCTCCGTCCTCGCAGCCCACACCTCCCCAGTGTCTCTCCGCCTCCGTCTCGGTCCTCTCCTGTGGTGGCGACGGGCACCTTCCGTGTTCAGTGGTAGCTAGCTCTTGCAGATCTATGGCCATGAGGAAAGGATTGTCGCAAGAAGCGGCGCGAACGATCGTAGGCGTGTGGCGTACGCTCTTTTCGTGGCTCGTGGTTTCTCTACTTCACGCACCACTCGTTCCGTGTCTGCAGCCGGAGCGCGGGAGGTTCTTGCCTGCTTCGCCGCCTCACTCTCGCAGCTCAGCCTCCGGTCACGGACTACAACTCGAGCTTCTAGTTCCGCTCCTCCTTCGCTGTATATCATCCCCATGGTTCCTCGACTCTGGTGCCTCTTTTCATATGACATCTCATGCAACACACTTGTCCTCTCTATTTTCCCCTGATCCACCTATTTCTGTTCGCACCGCAGATGGCACTTCTCTTCCTGTTGCTGGGAGAGGTGTTCTTTCGACCTCTTCGTTTAATGTTCCTACTGTTTTGCATGTTCCCAAACTCACTATGCAACTCTTGTCTGCGGGTCAAATCACTGATCATGGTTGTCGCATAATCCTTGAGTCTGATTCTTGTTGTGTTCAAGATCTCCGTACGGGCCTTTTGGTGGGAACTGGGCCTAGGTGTCGAGACTCCTAACGCCTCTGGGAGCTTGATTGGTTGCGTCTTCCTTCACCCGTTTTGGCTACCACATCACCCAGTTCTCCAGCATCCGTGTCAGCTGCTTGTCTACCACTTCCTTTGCGCAGTGGCATTGTCGTCTTGGCCACCTCTCTAGTTCTAGATTGTCTGCTCTTGTTGGTAGTGGTGTGTTAGGTCCTGTTTCTGGTGACACTACTCTTCATTGTATGGGTTGTAAACTTGACAAACAGTTGCAACTCCCCTACCCTTCTAGTGAGTCTAAGTCCCAGAAACCTTTTGATCTTGTTCACTCTGATGTATGGGGTTCTGCACCTTTTGTTTCAAAGGGGGGTCAATCATATTATGTTATTTTCATTGATGACTATTCAAGATTTACCTGGATTTATTTAATGTGTTCTCGTGGTCAATTTCTTTTATTTACTGAAGAATTTGCCACCATGATCCGTACCAGTTCAACTCTCTCATTCGAGTTTTTCGTATGGGATTATCTTTGGTGAGTACATCTCCACCGCTCATCGTTCCTACCTTGGCCGAAAGCGTGGTACTCTTGCCCAATTTTCATGTCCTGGTGCTCATGCTCAAAATGGTGTTGCTGAGCGCAAGCATCGCCACACTCTTGAGACTGCTCGTGCTCTCTTGATCTCTTCTATGCTTGCTCCTCATTTTTGGGCTGAGGCGGTTTCTACAGCTGTTTTTCTTATAAATCGCTAACCCTCTACTTGTCTTCGGGGTTGCACTCCCTATGAGCGTCTTTTCGTCACCCCTCCTTCCTATAGCCATCTTCGTTGTTTTGGGCGTGTCTGTTATGTCCTACTTCCACCTCGTGAGCGCACCAAACTCACTGCTCAGTCTGTTGAGTGTGTTTTCCTTGGGTACAGTACGGAACATAAGGGTTATCGCTGCAATGACCCTGTTGCTCGTTGGATGAGGATTTCTCGGGATGTCACCTTCGATGAGTCCCGGCCTTACTATCCTCGTTCCCCTTCCGGATCTTCTGGTACCACTAAGTCCTTCTCATTTCTCACTTTACCTGAGTGGTATCTTCCGCTGTCGTCTCCATCCTCTTCACCCCCTCAGGTATCTTTTACTCCGCCTCCACCACCACCACCACCTACTTCTCCACCTTCACCACCTCCTCCTACCTCTCCACCACCAGTCTCTCCTCCACCATCATCGTTGCGTCCTTCCCGTGAGATCACTCACTACTACACTCGTTGTCCGTGCCCTGTGCCACCACTTGACTCTTCTCCGTCCGTCCTTGGACCTCATCCCGAGTTACCTCGTTATTCTCTTTGTGACCGCAACACCCTTCGTCCTCCCGATCGCCTTGGCTTCACTGCTGCCGTCTTGGCTGAGCCCGCGACCTATCGGGAAGCTGCCGTTCACCAGGAGTGGCAACATGCTATGACTGAGGAGATTGCTTCCCTAGAACGTACTGGCACCTAGGATCTTGTTCCTTTGCCACCTCACGTCACTCCTATCACTTGCAAGTGGGTGTACAAGGTAAAGACCCGCTCGGATGGCTCTCTTGAGCACTACAAGACTCGTCTTGTGGCGCGCGGCTTCCAACAGGAGCAAGGTCGTGACTATGAGGAGACCTTTGCTCCTGTCGCGCACATGACTACTGTTCGCACTCTTCTTGCAGTTGCTTCTGTTCGTCAGTGGTCGATATCCCAGTTGGATGTCAAGAATGCCTTCCTCAATGGCGAGCTGCGAGCGGAAGTCTATATGCGACCACCTCCGTGATACTACTCGCTCCTTATGGCTTTGTTTTGTCGGTTGCGCCGTTCTCTCTACGGCCTCAACCAAGCTCCTCGGGCCTGGTTTGAGCGTTTCTCCTCTGTTGTCATCGATGCTGGTTTTACGCCAAGTGATCACGATCCTGCTCTTTTTGTTCACACTTCCCCTCGTGGTCGCACCCTTCTTCTCTATGTCGATGACATGATCATCACGGGCGATGATTCCCAGTACATTGATTTTGTGAAGCAGCGTCTCAATGAGACATTCCTTATGTCTGATTTGGGTTCCCTTCGTTACTTCCTTGGTCTTGAGGTCACCTCCACATCTGATGGTATCTTTCTCTCTCAGGAGAAGTACACTCAGGACATCCTTTCCCGTGCTGCTCTCACTGATCACCGCACTGTTGATACTCCTATGGAGCTTGGTGTTCACCTACGACCCACTGATGGTGTACCACTTGCTGATCCTACTCGCTATCGTCAGCTTGTTGGGAGTCTTGTCTACCTTAGGATCACTCGTCCAGACATTTCTCACTCTGTGCATATCTTGAGTCAGTTTGTCTCAGCTCCTACCCAGCTCCACTATGCTCACCTCCTTCGTGTTCTGCGATACCTTCGTGGAACTATCTCTCGGCGCTTTTTCTTCCCTCGTTTTAGTTCTCTTCAGCTTCAAGCGTATTCTGATGCGACCTGGGCGAGTGATCATTATGATCGCTACTCTCTCTCTCTACCTATTGTGTTTTCCTTGGCTCCTCCTTGATTGCCTGGAAAACCAAGAAGCAGACTGCAGTTTCCTGCTCGAGTGCTGAGGCTGAGCTGCGTGCTATGGCGACTGTGATTGCGGAGGTGACATGGCTACAATGGCTTCTTGAGGATTTTGGTGTGCCTGCCACTGCACCCACTCCTCTCTCTTCTGACAGCACCGATGCAATCAGTATTGCTCGAGACCCAGTCAAGCATGAGCTCACCAAACACATTGGCGTTGATGCTTCCTACATGAGATTGCAGGTGCATGATCTGGTTGTGACGCTCCACCATGTGCCTTCAGAGGTTTAGTTAGCTGATTTCTTCACCAAAGGCACAGACCCAGGCTCATCATAGATTCCTACTCTCCAAACTCAGTGTTGTAGATCCACCATGAGTTTGAGGGGGGTGTTAGATGTATAGGAGGTGTATGTGTTTTCCCTCTACTTGGAGGGTTTCTTTGCATATGTACATTGTGTATACTTGCCCTCTTGGGCCTTGCAATACAGTTGGTTGGTCATTCTCTAACAATCACCATATATAACTTATAAGGAAACCAATGGTAGAGGGTATTGATAGTAGTTCACTGAAACCAGGAGCGGTTGGCACTTGGCAGAACCAGATGCTGCCAGCCTAGAGCTCTTTTGTTTTATTAGTCAGTGGAAGTAAAATTTTCCTTATGAGGCTTGGGAACACTGTTCTCTCGAATGAATGTTCCCGTGTAATTGAAGTGACACTTTTAGTTAAAATTGGTGTATTGTGTCTAACTTGTTTCTCTTTTGTTTGCATTGATGACATAGAAGCAAAGATAAGTCAAAGGAGAGGTCGGTATGCGCCGGTGGTTTTGCTGCACGCAGTTCAATGCTTCATATCATGAACATGAAAATGAACGTCCCATCAGTCCAGAGGAGAAAGAAGGTACTGCCTTCTTCCTTCTTAGTCCCTTTTTATCCTTCGCACGTTAAATTGTCGATCTTCAAGGATCGATACAAGTCCTATGTTCTCAGAATATTGAAAAGGTTTTGAAACTCCTGTGGAAACTGAGTTTGCCATATTCATATATTACTCTTGGATTCTTCAGAAGCATGTTGGGTATTTTCAATAAATTTTGTACTAAAGTATTGGCACTTCACACTTCTTTTATTTCAAATAGTATCATTGCTTGTGAGGCGAACTTCAGGATGTAGGATACGAAGTATCAGATACTAGTGTTCTCTGAACAATAAAACTTTCTCTATTAAGTTCAAATTCTTATAGGAAAATGCATCGCATACACCTAATCTGACCTTTTAAAAGGCAACAAGTACGATTACCAAAAATATGGAACATTATGATTTTCTGTTTCAAGTGAAAACACTGGTAAGAAATTAACATTGTTCTCTTTGATGCAAAACAATGTATATAAGCAATTCAGATTGTTCTTGCCAATTGAATGCGGTCATAGACTAGTTCATTAGTGGTAGGTGTAATATATTATTTCCATCGATTAGATTTTTTTTTTTTAAAAGGATGTGTATTGCTTTGCTGCTGGTCTGTTTGCCTGTTGTGCTTCATTTGCTGACTAAAGTTATTTGTCATTACATGGCTATCAGGAAATGGTTTTGCTGTTAAAAGTGATCCCATCAAGGCACCACCACCTTCCATTGAAGTCCCTGAATTATCATTTGAAGAACTGAAAGAAAAGACCGACAATTTTGGGTCAAAGGCTTTGATTGGTGAGGGATCATATGGAAGAGTGTATTACGCTATTCTGGACAGTGAAAAACATGTTGCTGTTAAAAAGCTTGACGCTTCAACAGACCCTGAACTTGATAATGAGTTTTTGACACAGGTATGGTTCTATAGTTATGTTCACGTCTTACCAGTTGTTATATTCTATACTGTTTGTCCATCCATATTAAGCTTTTGTTATTGACCGTATACTGTGTCCTCTCCTTCTGTGTAGGTATCCATTGCCTCAAAACTAAAACATGATAATTTTGTGGAGATGCTTGGATATTGTGTGGAAGGAAATCAGCGTCTTGTAGCCTATGAATTTGCTACGATGGGTTCTCTGCATGATATCTTGCATGGTATGAATGCTTCTGTATCACAGTAAATGCATACAAGCCTTACAATATTACTCATATTGTTACTTCAAGGTTTTAAAGTTGTTGCCTGTTTCTTTCTTAGCACATCATGCTCCACAAATTCACTGCAATAATGACCTGATCTGTTTTGCTTTCACCTTTTTTTTTCATACGAAAGGAAGAAAGGGTGTTCCAGGTGCACAGCCTGGCCCAGCACTTGATTGGATGCAGCGGGTTAGGATTGCTATTGATGCTGCTAAAGGGCTAGAGTATCTTCATGAAAAGGTGCAGCCTTCAATAGTCCACCGGGACATACGGTCTAGCAATGTTCTTCTGTTCGAGGACTACAAAGCGAAAATTGCAGATTTCAATCTTTCGAATCAGTCTCCAGATATGGCTGCTCGTTTGCATTCTACTCGTGTCCTTGGAACCTTTGGCTACCATGCTCCCGAGTAATTATTCAACTCAAATTCTTGATCATGATTTGGGCTTCCTGATTGATTATACCAAACAATCAACTTAAACTAAATTTATCTTCGTTTAAAATGCAGGTATGCCATGACTGGCCAGCTAACTCAGAAAAGTGATGTATATAGCTTCGGAGTTGTTCTTTTAGAGCTTCTAACAGGAAGGAAACCAGTAGATCATACAATGCCTAGAGGTCAGCAGAGTCTGGTTACATGGGTAAGCATTTGGTTCCTGACAAGCCTACTATTCAACTTAAGAATTTATTTCAAACTAAAGCTTAGTGGTACCATGCACTCCAATTGTTTGTTGATAATTGCTCTAAACAAAACAAGGAAAACATGTGTAAACAAATGAACAACAAGAGGTTGGCTCATTGGCTAGATTTTTCAAAAGATATTTCAAAATCGCAGATATACTCGCGCCTGTCTCTCAGAAACCAGTGTTGTTAATCCTAATAGGAAACAATCACAAATCTGTATTTATTTTGACATGTACTGTGGTCTATGGTTGTAACAAGCTATTTTAAAGTCATGCAATAGCTAGTAGTTGCGCTTCTCATTTCATGCTGCTTTATATGGAGATATGACCACCAAATCAAATTTAGGTGGTCCTTCTTGGTTAATTATAGTTTTTCTTTTGCTGTAATAAAGTCATCATTAACTATCTGGATTCATGGGAACAGTTTGGTCCAATTCATGGCAATGTCTTTGCATGTCATAGCATCTTGAAACTTTTGGTACAAAATTTGCATGCTAATGTATTGGGAGCTAAGCACTGCTGTCCAGATTAATGACTACTTTATCGTATATTTTGTCAATTTTTATTCAGGCAACACCTCGATTGACTGAGGACACAGTGAAACAATGTGTTGATCCAAGATTAAAGGGAGAGTATCCTCCAAAGGGAGTTGCTAAGGTCTGGCTCCATTCCTTCTATTCTATCCCTTGTGTGCGCATGCTTCCATGTGTTGGTTACTGCGATCTGCTAATACGACCAGTAAGCAACATTGTTGTTTACACTAAAATGGTTCTCTTCTGTCTGTTGCAGCTTGCGGCTGTGGCGGCACTCTGTGTGCAATATGAATCTGAATTTAGACCCAGCATGAGCATCGTAGTTAAGGCACTCTCTCCCCTTCTTCAACATAAACCGCAACCACCAACAGCACCTTCAGATGCCTGACTTTCTCAACGAGCTATGAATCATGAATGTAAAGAGAACCATTTCCTCTTCGGTGCGTGCGCTATTCTAAACCGTGTGCCTGTGAAGTGATCAGTGTCACACAAGTAACAGCATTGTGGACTAATGCATATCTTCACCTTTACATAGGTTGGTACAAACAGGAGGCTTCACCTTGTCATTACCGTGTTCTAAGCTGAGTCATGTGCTGCCTTCGTTGGCCGGGTGAGGTGTGCTTGCTGGCCAGCGGTCGTGACCACCTAATTACCGTGTTATGGTCATTACTATAACATGCGAAGGTTCTAACTTTTTCATGGTTTGCTTTTTTACTTCTTTTGTTTGCCTATCGTCTGATTTTGAGCTGACCCGCTCCTTTGTACAATCACTATTGGTTGCGAGGCTTCTGGTGTGCATGTTTATGCGTGATAATTGTGAAGAGATTATGAGCGTTGTTTTACTTTCCCAGAAATACGCAGGAGAGCTAGATTGTGCACTCGTGCTGTTCACTGGATCATCTGTTTGTCCATCAAGTCAATGGTGACGTTACCGAAAGATGCGCTGGTCAAAGGAAAGCTTATTATATCACCGAGTATATATAGGTATATAGGGAATCTCGCGAACTATATAAAATAAACAAAGGCATCATCCATTTGCGGGTTATAGTGTACTCTTATCTGTTTTAAAACAGTTGCTATTTTAGCTATGAATCTGCACAATCTGTTAAGATTTATTGTAGCTAAAGCGTCAACTATTTTGAGACGGAGTACCTACCAACTGCAATGTGGTTTCGGGGTACACCTGTCTTACAAGCAAACATATTTCTTTGTTTCCATGAATTGAATTTTATTTCATGAATTAAGAATTTCGGGGTACACCTGTCTTACACCCAAACCTATTTCTTTGTTTCATGGAATTGAATTTATTTCATGAATTAAGAACCACATTTCATTTCAGATCTTAATTGAAGTGTTGTCGTCGGTGAAAGCTTGACCACAACAATGAGAGTCCTCCACAAAGAGCTTTTTTTTTTTGTCTGAACTCATGAGAGAGACGAGTGAAGGAGATCGGTCCACGAGGGTGGCGATGAACATAGATCTATATTTAAGATATAAAAAGTGGTGGAATATCAAATTCTAAGCAAAATAGCCTAGTTTATGAAGTAGATTCTAATTCAACCAAAATGATTCATAGCTCATGCTCTAATAGTTACCATTCTCTTTACATCCAAATGGGCTCTAATAGTCTAATGTCCATTGGCTCATAATCATTGGATATAACTTGGGGTAGTTTGGACAAGGGGTCTACATGTAACGTGCGTCTTGCTCACTGGTCTCCACATCAGAGTCACAGCCTCACAGGCCGAGTTGCCCGCTGCGGCTCGCTGGGCGCGGCCTCGTGGACGCTGTGTACTGCGTTCCTGCAAGCAATGACCATGACTGCGTTAGACCAATGAGCAGCGACTGAGGGCTGTCACAACTCACAACATGATGAAGGACGAACATGCGCTCATGGAATGATTCGTGGCCAGTTTCGGCGCGTCCTTCCCGCTGATCTCTAGATTGATACTCACTATAAAATTTCTCATAAAAAATCTAAAAGTTCAACGCCTATTTAATGCCACGCTAACCCAATTGCAGAAACGACGACTCCAACGAGAAAGTATAAGCGGGGCTACTTACTCACCTTTAGATCTGAGCATTTTGTGGACTAGACCTAGTTCGGGACGGGTAAAAACCAACCCAGTTGTTTCGGCCGAAAAATTTCTGCTCATCCGTTTCATTGGGCGAGTCCGGCCTGATTTTTCGGACCGGGTTTAGGCTGAGAATTTTCTTTCCTAGTTAGCGGAATTTGTTCCGGTCTACAAAGATTCGTGGGCGGGCCAAAAGCCAACGGGCTCGGGCCAGGCCCATGGACGGGGCCAAGCCATGCTTGATCAATTTGCTCAGGTCTAGTCACCTCGTGGAGGACTTGTTTGATATCCTCATATCTATCTCAATTCACATGTACGTTGGGGTGTATTGTGATAAAAATTAAACTAATTTACACATCAATCCACGTCAGCGCTTGTTTGGATTCCCTCGTATTTATATCAATTTACATGGGTTGAAGTGGATTGCGGTGAAACTTAAACTAACCTATATCCAATCCACTTCAACACATGTGAATTTAGATGTATACGAGAGTATCCAAATAAGGTCTCAGCACACATGGATTGAGCCGAATACGAGAGTATCTAAACAAGGCCAAAGGTGCATAGAGTACTCCCTTTGTCCCAGAAAGAATATAATTTCCATTTTTCGATGAGTCAAACCATCTTAAATTTGATCAAAATTATAAAAAAACACTAACATTTATGATATAAAAATAAGTATTATTAGATTAAATTAAGCATGAAACATATTTTCATAATAAACCTAGTTAGAGACATAAATATTAACATTATTCACTATAAATTGAAACAAATACTATAAGGACCCGTTTGGATCTTTGAAATTGAATTTATTCTAATAATTATAATTGAGGCATAAATTAATTATGCTAATAGGGTTCTATATGAAATATATTTGTATATTTTTGTTAGCCATTGTATTTCTACTATAAGGAAACGAGTTGAAAGCGTATTATAAGTTTGAGAGTAGAAACATAGCATTGTGACATATAGAATCAATTTACATCTCGCACACTATGAATTTGAGATAGGTTTATATGTGAACTTGGAAACGTTGTAGAATGTCAAATTTTAAGCCAAATAATCCAATCTATTAAGTAGATTCTAATTCCATTAAAATGAAAGGATCAAACGGATCTAATCTTTTTTTGGTGGGTGTGTGGTGTGTGGTGGTGGTGTGTGTGTTGTGTGTGTGTTGGGGGGGGGGAGTGCATCATATGTAATGTACTACGTCGTAGTCAACCATCTGTAAACAACCAAAGTAGCGGCATTTTACTATTGTCTCTCGTCCGAAAAGCGCGTCCTCTAAAACATGTGCAATCAAACTTGTCAAACTTAGATTATTAATTATTACGTATGTACCATTCATAAAACTTTATCATAGAAAAGAATACCTATAAATGTACTACGTCGTAGTCAACCATCTGCGGCATTTTACTATTGTCTCTCGTCCGAAAAGCGCATCCTCTAAGACATGTGCAATCAAACTTGTCAAACTTAGATTATTAATTATTACGTATGTACCATTCATAAAACTTCATCATAGAAAAGAACACCTATAAATGTACTACGTCGTAGTCAACCATCTGTAAACAACCGAAGTAGCGACATTTTACTATTGTCTCTCGTCCGAAAAGCGCGTCCTCTAAGACATGTGCAATCAAACTTGTCAAACTTAGATTATTAATTATTACGTATGTACCATTCATAAAACTTCATCATAGAAAAGAATACCTATAAATGTACTACGTCGTAGTCAACCATCTGTAAACAACCGAAGTAGCGGCATTTTACTATTGTCTCTCGTCCGAAAAGCGCGTCCTCTAAGACATGTGCAATCAAACTTGTCAAACTTAGATTATTAATTATTACGTATGTACCATTCATAAAACTTCATCATAGAAAAGAATACCTATAATTGTATTGTATGCGAGGCAGTATACAACGTCTCAAGACTCGTGGATCGAGCTTAGTGAATAAGTACTGATAGCTTGTTTGTCCGAGCTTCTGTTTCTCCAAGAGCTAGCTAGCTTTAGTGGATCGAGCCAGCATGGTTGGGCGCAACTGCGGCATCGTGGCCTCTTGCCTCGTGCTCGTGGCTTCCTGGCTTTGCTCCTTCCTTCCGGTGAGCCACGACTCCACGCGCCTGGGCCTAGCTCAGGGACAGAGACCACCACCCAGTCCCGGAACCGGAACCGCCGCGCAAGTCGGGGTGCTCCTTGACCTCCGGTCGGCCGGCGGGAGGGCGAGCCGCGCGAGCATCTCGCTCGCGCTCGAGGACTTCTACCTGTCGCAGCCCGGCTCGCCGAGGATCTCGCTGCACGTCGTGGATTGCAAGGACGACGAGATCACCGCGGCTTCAGCTGGTAACCGTCATATATATCGATCCCCGGCCATTCAAAACTATTTTTCTTCTCTGCGTATCTATATAATTTTGTGTTCCACTTTGTGGTTTGTGTTGAAGCGATGTAGACTGTTAGCCTTGACTGTCATAGTGCGCTCGTGCAGTGGCCACGGCGTCGCCAGTGGCGAAGCCAAGCCAAAATGGCGCCGGGGTCATGTAATTCACGCTGGGGTCTTTGCCTTTAGAAACATTGCAAGATGGTACTCCTCTGTCCCTATTTGACTGTCGTTGGGGCAGTGATTCATAGCCTCTGCTAAGCATTTGGACAGACCTAGTGACCACGTTTACAGATATTCAACCGTACCTACTAAAATGCCAAAGCGACACAGATAAAGGGACAGAGGATTCTCATTAAGTTTGCACAAATTCACTATTCTTCAGAGATCAACACGAATGACTGTTGGCTCCTATTCTACTTCAGTTTGCATCCACGAACAACTTACAGTGTTTAGTCTGAGTAATGAGTTATTCCATCGTCTTCTCACTTCTTATTTTTCTATATGATTTGTGAAATAAAATAGATTTATCCATGGTCACATCATTTCTCACAATTAGTACCGGTAGGAATGGTGTCACTCCACTACATTTGAAAAAACAGACTCACGATGCACCATCCCATCTAAAATGAAATGATTTCTCGATCACATTTGAAAAAAAGAACTCATGATATACCACCTCATTTAAAGTGAAATATTTCCTTAACCAAACATAGACAACTAGACACCTATTAGCATTTGGGTGCAAATGTCATATATAAAATCCGGTCTGTGAAATGAAGCTCTCTAACTATCCGCTAGTCAGTTGTTGCGTGCCTTTTTAAGGGTAAGAGACTTCGTTTGTAAAATTACAATAACCATAACATTAGCCTATTAGAGCAATTCGAAGAGACTCTTTATATTTTTTCTAATTATTAGAAATAGAGATTTCTATAAAAAATATCCTTTAACAACTTTTTTAAATAAACATTCAAATATAGTCATCTTCCATTCTGAATTTCTCGCTAGCCAAAGATAGGTAGCGAAAATGGCTCTCTAAACTATACACAAGATATAAAAAAAGCTGTTAAAGAGTAGAAAGATATAGAAAGCGATCTTTGTGCAGATAACTCTCTAAATAATAATTTAGAGAGTGAAATTTGAAAAGACTCTTGAAAATGCTGCTACAGGGGATGGAACTCTCATGGTTAGAGCACGGCACTACCCCTTCGTGCTTCGGTCCATGTCGGACCTAGAATCCCAGGCATGTCACATCGATCATGCTGCACCGGCGCGACGAGATTTTCTCTAGGCTCAAGAGTGACCCATTGCCCACCAATCTGTCTCTATGCCATACCAATCTAAGATCGGTTCTTAAAATATTTTTGTTTGTTTTCTTCAACCATTGATAACATAGAACAATATATATCTTTGGAAATATAAGAAGACATCGAATTGGGGAACACATGTTTTTGGAAATACAAGAAGACACCTTGCGCAAAAAAAAAGGGAAATACAAGAAGACACGGAAGGTAAAAGACTTCGTTTGTAAAATCATGATGAACTATAACATCGGCCTATTACAAAGTGATTTTCTAAAAAAAAGTGAAACGGATCTATCACGATACCTTGGTTGTCGTGAAAAACGCTAGATAGCAATGATTGCTCACCCTTCCTGAATGGGCGTGGCTAACGCCCGGATGACGGCACCTGCTGCTCCATTGCACACGCGTCTGCTCGCACACGGGAACCTCCATGTCTCCTGTCCGGACGCTCGCGACCCCTCTGCTTCTCGCGCCCGCATGCACGGGGGTCACACACCTCTGCCTCCGTCCCCTCCGCTTCCCGCGTCTGGCGCATGCACGACGCCCCAGCAGCTCTCGTTTCACGCGCCCGTGGACTACCCGTGCCCCTGCCTCCATTCCCCTTCGCTTCCCACGTGCATGCACGGTGCCCTGACAGGCAGCAGCTGCAACAGGCGACTACAGCAGGTGGGCCCGTTGTGACATGTGCAACACCAGATCTACTTTTGCAATATTTAGATGAAACAATTGCAACGTATGTCTGAACCAGCTGAAACACTTGCAAAAACCTAAAAACACTTGAAAATACGTGTGTAGCCATTACAAAAACATATGCAACATCAAATGAAATACTTGCAACATATGTATGAAACAACTGAAACACTTAAAATATACTCTTGTAACATGCATGTAAATGCAACATCCAAATCTATTTTATTTTTGCATCCAGATGAAACACTCATGAAACACCTAAAATACCTGAAAACATATGCTTGCAACGTACGTATATTGTTGTTGCAACATATGCAACATCTCATATATACTTTTGAAACATCCAGATTAAACAATTGAAACATAAGCCTAAAACACTTGAAACATAGCGTCACCGGCGGTCACGGCCTACTTAGTGGGGAATTGCGGTAGCAGCAAGCTCAGGTCAAGTGGACGTCGGCCTAGCGTACACCTCAGCTGCAGGACATCGACATGTCGCTCCTCCTGCGATCCTCCCGTGCCTGCTCGTGGCCCAGGCTCGCGCCCGTCGGTGCGGCCTCGCAGCGCCGCAGCTGCTCAGCTGCATCGTCTAGTGCCATCGGCTCACGGGGATGGGGCGTGGCGCACCCAGCGATGGGGGTGTGGCACGGTGGGGGGAAGGCACGGCGTGGCGGGGACGGGGTGCGGCGGGTGAAGTGGGGCGGGCAGATGCGCGGTGATGCGCGACATCGATGCGAGTGTGATTGGGGAAATTGTCAGATATGAAAGAGCCGTAGAGGTGAGCATGCCTTTTTTGTTTTATGGGTGGATGGATGAGCACGCCTATTGAGGTCTGTCGGCTGCGCAGGCCGAGGAAGACAGGATCCGACGGGAGGAACACCCGTGGCACAATGTGCAAGCATTTGTGTTCCTAAATAGAAGAGGCAGATCAATGAACGAGACTGCATAAAGTTTGCTAGGTTAGGCGGTTAGCCTTCTCTTCTAAATGTTTAAGAGTTCAAAATCCAATGGATCGAAATGAACATTTTAAGATGTATTGGTGCTCCGAACCAAAATATATATTTCTACTTTATAAAACATGGTAATTATTCCAGCAATACTAATATGACCATTAAATACATGGTACTGTGGTTGGGGGGAAGAAATTAGGCGACCTCAACTCGGTTGGAGGGGAAAAAATTAGGCGACCTCAACTCGATGGTTGACAGATCAAATGATTTTCGCCCTCTTCGCTTGGGGTTGTTTGGCTGATAAGTCATGACTGGAAGTACTGTTGGCTGATTTGATGTGAGAGAAAAATACTATTCATTAACTGAAAAAGTACGACTTATAAACCAAACAAGCCCAAGCAAACATGGTGTTTATCTAAATACTAGCACCCAATAACTCAGTTTTGTATTACTTTGACTTTGGTATGTAGGTTCATATTTTTTATAATATATAAAACGCCGACTAAATTCGTCAGTCACATTTCTTTTTAAAAAAAATGCGAACTCGATCCAAGCGGAGCCCACGTCCGTCGAATAATCTCAGCTCCAGTCCCATACCGTGAGTCCCAGTACAGTACAGTACAGTACAGTACAGTAGCATCTGCTTCAGCTCGCCGCCTCCGTCCGCACCAAAGCCTGCCGCGGTGCCACCGCCGTGCGGTTTCCGTCGATCTGCTGATGGAGAGCGACCATGGAAGATATTGGGGGCTAACCTCGGCCGTGGAGCGCCGCGGCAGCCGGCATCTGCCCCCGGCTTCCACCCGGCGATCGCATCTGCGCTAGCTTCAGGAGGTGAGTGCCTCTGCCGGCTCGAGTGCTCGGAGGTCGAAACTATTGGCATGGGCGTGCGATTACTGACTACGCCTACAATGGTTTGAATAGCAATTTTTGCAGCATAGCGGAGTGGAGGGCCTATCGCGGGTAGTGAATCCTATAGCGGAAACTAAATGCAGTCATATGTTTTTTCCCCTCAAAAAACATGTTGTCATATACTGAAAACTTGTGAAATATCGTTTATATAAAAAATTGTGAAATATCAAAAAAAAAAAAAGTCGTAGTTTCCTACATTATGGAAACTACTAAGTAACTCCATAAACCTATTTCCCATTTCAATAGGAGTTACTGTGTTTGCAAATTGCAAAACCACAAATAGTAACAACATGTACATGGATCCACAAAACATACTTACTCCCACTATCCTAAAATACAAGGGATTTTCAATTGTTCTAAGTCAAACCATTTTAAGTTTGATCAAGTTTATAACATGCACCATGTCTAAGAGTCAATTTATGGAAATACAATTCATATTGTATCTAATGAACCTCATTTAGTATCATAAATGGTACTATTCTTTTGTACAAACTTTGGATGTTTTGACAAAGAACAGCCGGAAATCCTTGTATTTTAGGACGGATGAAGTATAATACACTCATAGTTGTCCATAACAAGCCATTGACACTTAAAATAACAATAGCTCATAATGTAATATATTGATGCCATCTTATTCTAACGCAGTTGAGTTAATTGTTTGACATTACACCCTTTGATTATTGGCAAATTTCATCTTGCTTTAGTACAATGACTATAAAATGCTATGCACCATGTCATGTTATGTAGACCAAAGGAAGAACACATACAAAATTACCAAACTCAGTCCATGACCAAGATACAAATCTGCACTATATCTAGTGGCGGAGCTGGTGAAAATCCACACTTAGGGTCACTATCTACATGCCTAAACAATCTATAATGGGCCTACATAAATAGTTCACGTAAGCAATGGATAAAACACATGATTTAGAAGATATCTCAAGTCCATGTGTATTTGTACAAAAAACATGATAAAAACAAGATGTGGTACAAAAACCTAATTATAAAAACATGATAAAAACCTAATTATGGAGGGTTATTTGGTTCATCTCTTCCTATTATATCATTAAATTAGCAAGTGAATCTGAACCAATACATGAAAGTTTGAACATT